AGCCACCTCCTGACAGTAAGCCTAAACCTTCAGTTATCCATCCCATAATCTCTCACGGATATTAACCTTTGTCTCTCTTTTAGAACATCCTGGCACATCCTGCATCAGTTTGAGCAGCGCTTTGAGTTCTCCAGTTTAAAATAAATTATTTATTTTCTTACCTCCCTCTTCCCGTCTCTGATTCTGCATGTCGTGGGTCAAAAGAATACCACAGAACATGACAGAATCATCCGGCCAGAATCCCGACCCCGTCGCAGGATCAGTTTCCCCCACCGTCTCTGAAACCCTCGCCAGCCACGAATCAGCCATACAATCTCTGTTAGAACAGCTCTCCAATGCTAACCAACGACTGTTTCAGATGGATACCATGTTGCGCCAAGTCCACACACAACTTACCACCCCGGGACCCCCCTCCTCAGAGGCTTCTGCCCCGGGCCCCGCTGTCTCCACCCCACAGGCACTTCCGGGGTCTGCAGCTCAGTTTTGTTTCCGGGTCGCGGACTCACCACCTCCCGAAACTTTCTCCGGTGAGTACGGCAAAAGCCGGGGATTTTTGCTACATTGTAGACTGGCATTTGAAAGATCCCCAGATTCTTTTGTTAATGATTCCACTAAGATATCGTATATAGTGGGTCTACTCCAGGGCAAAGCCTTGCAATGGGCCGAATCAAGGAGTCGCCAAGCTAGTTTTCTCCAAGGGCCGATAACTGACTTTTTGGCTGACTTTAACTTAAATTTTGGGGACGTTGAGTCCCAAACGGAGCTGGCTAAGAAAATTTGGAACCTACATCAAGGACGTCAATCAGTAACGGATTTTGCCATAGAATTCAGGACTTTAGCAGCCAACTTCTCTGGGAGTGGTGACATGTTGAAGGGAGCCTTTGCCCAAGCACTAAATGATCGCATTAAAGATCAATTGGCTTACTGTCAGGAACCATCGACCCTTGAGGAACTTATTGCCCTGGCCATACGCATAGACAAAAGACTAAGAGAACGTAGTGGGAGTGTCTCTTTTGCTTCTTCAGCACCGCGCCGGGCTTCTTCACCCCCTTATCGAGCTCGCCCCCAGGAACCACCATCTCCTCCTCCCGAAGAGCCCATGCAACTTGGACGGACTCGACTGACACCGGAGGAACGGCAGCGACGTCTAAGAGGGGGTTTATGTTTCTATTGTGGACAGGCTGGTCACCTGGTCTCCAACTGCCCAAGCCAGTTAAACTCACCAGCCCGCCGGTAGGATTGAGGTTACTGGTGGGCGGTTTTTCAGATAACGCTAACCCTCGATGCTCATTGCCTTGTACCTTATTTTATAACCACAACTCTTCTGCTTCCTCTGCTCTCTTAGATTCAGGCTGTGATCCAAACCTGTTGGACCAGGCCTTGGTGCACTCACTCAAGATCCCCACATCCTTGCTTCCTACCCCCATCAAGGTCTCCTCCCTTGACGGCAACTCTTTGACCACTATCACCCACCAAACTGTCCCGGTAAAATTCCTTGTTTCAGGAAACCATTATGAGGTAACATCATTTTATGTTTTCCCTTCCCCTCAGTCACCTGTGGTTCTTGGTCATGCCTGGTTGTCACTACATAATCCTCATGTAAATTGGAAGACAGGACAGATTGAGTCTTGGAGCCCGTTTTGCTTGTCACACTGCCTACAGTCTGCCTCCCTCACAGATCCTAAGCCCATCTCCTCCTCGGTTGCCCTGCCAGACCTGACCGGAGTACCCAAGGAATACCATGACCTTCACCAGGTATTTTCCAAAGACAGAGCTGCATCCCTGCCCCCACATCGTCCTTACGACTGCGGTATAGACCTACTCCCTGGTTCCACTCTGCCCTCCAGTCGTTTGTACAACCTATCCAGACCGGAGAGGGAGTGCATGGAGCAATATATCTCAGAGTCCCTGGCTACGGGTATTATCAGACCCTCCACTTCACCCCTTGGAGCTGGGTTCTTCTTTGTGTCAAAGAAGGACGGGACCCTACGTCCTTGCATTGATTACCGAGGTCTAAATCAAATAACCATTAAAAACAAATATCCCCTACCTCTTCTTTCCTCAAACTTTGAACCTGTTCAAGATGTAACCATCTTTACAAAGTTAGATCTCCGTAGCGCCTACCACCTAGTCAGAGTTCGCGAGGGAGATGAGTGGAAAACTGCTTTTAAGACACCCATGGGACACTTTGAATACCTGGTGATGCCTTTCGGTCTGACTAATGCTCCCGCTGTTTTCCAGTCACTCGTTAATGCAGTACTGAACGACTTTCTGAACAAGTTTGTGACTGTCTACCTGGATGACATTTTGATTTTTTCCAAGTCCCCTGAAGAACACTCTCACCACGTCCGTGCCGTCCTCCAGCGACTATTGGAGAACATGTTGTATGTCAAGGCAGAAAAATGTGAATTTAATGTGAACTCTGTAAAGTTTCTGGGCTTCATTCTAGAGAGTGGGCGTCTGAAGACCGATCCGGACAAGGTTCAGGCTGTTCTTCACTGGCCAACTCCTTCATCACGTAAGCAATTGCAACGCTTTCTTGGTTTTGCAAATTTTTATCGCCGGTTCATAAAGAACTACAGTCAGACAGCAACCCCCCTCACACAACTCACCTCTGTGAAGAAACACTTTGTATGGACTCAGGAAGCTGAATGTGCTTTTCAGGAACTTAAGGAAAGATTCACTCAAGCTCCCATCCTCACTCGTCCCAACCCTCAGTTACAGTTCACCTTGGAGGTGGATGCCTCAGATTCAGGAGTTGGGGCAGTGCTATCGCAGACCTCCCCCACTGATCATAGACTACACCCTTGTGCCTTTTTCTCTCGGCGACTATCTCCAGCGGAACGGAACTATGATGTGGGAGACCGGGAGCTTCTTGCCATAAAACTAGCACTTGAGGAATGGAGGCACTGGCTTGAGGGAGCGACTCATCCCATCATCGTTTGGACGGATCACAAAAACCTCTCCTATCTGAAAGAGGCTAAGAGACTTAATCCAAGACAATCACGCTGGTCCATGTTCTTTGCCCGTTTCAATTTCATGATCTCTTTCAGACCCGGAACCAAGAACGTGAAGCCAGATGCCTTGTCCCGTCAGTACTCCTCTGACCGCGAACCCGAACCAGCAACCATTCTTCCTCCCTCCTGCATAATCGGATCCATCACTTGGGACATCAAGGACAAAGTCCTGGAGGCTCAGAAGACCAAGCCTGATCCAGGTAATGGACCTCCTAACCAGATTTTCGTTCCCTCCACAGTACGGGCCTCAGTCATCCAGTGGGCTCACACAGCCAAGTTTTCCCTACACCCGGGGGTTGGAAGAACTGTAAGCCTGATCAGACGTTTCTTCTGGTGGCCTTCTCTATTTAAGGACGTCAAGAGTTATATAAATGCATGTCATGTCTGTGCCCGTAACAAGAGCAGCAACCAGCCCCCTTACGGCCTTCTCAACCCTCTCCCTATCCCTTCACGACCATGGTCACATATTGCTCTGGATTTTGTCACCGGCCTTCCCCCATCCCGTGGTTTCAATGTTATCCTTACAGTTATAGATCACTTTTCTAAGGCCTGTCACCTCATCCCTCTTAAGACTCTCCCTTCCTCTGCAGAAACTGCTACCCTCCTAGTTAAACATGTCTTCCGCCTTCATGGAACCCCCTCTGAGATCCTCTCCGACCGAGGCCCCCAGTTTGTCTCCAGGGTTTGGAAGGAGTTTGCTGCCCAACTGGGGGCTCGTGTCGCCCTCTCCTCAGGTTTTCATCCCCAGACCAACGGTCTCTGTGAACGGATGAACCAGGAACTGGAGGCGGTGTTACGTTGCCTGTGTTCATCCATCCCCTCTGGGTGGAGCTCCCAGCTGGCGTGGATTGAGTATGCCCACAACGCCCATACCTCTTCCTCCACTGGTCTCTCCCCCTTCGAGGCTTCCCTTGGGTTTCAACCACCTCTGTTTCCCTTGGACAACTTGTCTTCCACCTCTGTGCCACAGTTCATACGCCAAGCCCGACGCACCTGGTCCCTCACCACAGCAGCTCTTCGTAGAACGGCGGAACGCAATCGCCGCTTGGCTGACCGCCATCGACGGCCCGCCCCTTCCTATGCCCCTGGGCAATCAGTTTGGCTCTCAACATGCAACATCAATCTCAAGAACTCCTGTAAGAAGTTGTCCCCTCGTTTTATCGGTCCATTCAAGATCTCAGCAATCATTAACCCTTCATCGGTCCGCCTCGACCTCCCAGCATCCATGAAGACACACCCCGTCTTCCACGTCTCCCACATTAAGCCTGTGTCTGCCAGTCCGCTGTGCCCCCCTCCTACTCCTCCCCCTCCGGCCAGGCTTGTCGGTGGAGGTCTTGTCTACCAGGTTAGGCGCTTGCTGGATGTGCGTCGCCGCGGCCGTGGATACCAATACCTGGTTGACTGGGAGGGCTATGGACCTGAAGAGCGGTCCTGGATACCCCGCTCCTTTATTGAGGATCCTTCCCTGATTAGGGACTTTGAGGCCTCCCGGGCCTCCGCCACTGCCTCTGCCAGGACGCCAGGAGGCGTCCCTTGACGGGGGGGTACTGTCACGGGCTGTTTTTATTCTCACAATCAATGTTTTTAGGTCTAAGAGTCTGCAGGTGGGCGTGTCTGGAGAGCAGGAGCAACAGCCAGCTGCAGCTCATCTCCAATCATCCTCCAGGGTGTATTTAAGGAGCTGACTTCCTCAACACTCTTGCCGGATGATTACTCAACCTGGGTAGTTCGAGTCAGAATAAAAATCTATTGTTAAGCTAAAGATTAAAACTTAGACTAAGAAATGTTTTTGTGAAGCAGCTTTCTACCAGACTAGGACCAAGATTAATCCTTCCTCTTATCCCTTCAAGGAACCATCTCCTCCAGCCATTTCCAAGAACTTTTCATCAGCTCCACTTCATTCAGCTCCAACCCCTGGCTGTACGCTCTCCACTACGCCCCTACCGCCTACCCTTTCAAGCTCACCACACACGAACCCTGGACCTCGTCTTCATCAGGACCCCTTTACAACCCTTCTTCATAAACCAACCTGTGCTCCTTCGTATGCCCTCTAGCCACCTCCTGACAGTAAGCCTAAACCTTCAGTTATCCATCCCATAATCTCTCACGGATATTAACCTTTGTCTCTCTTTTAGAACATCCTGGCACATCCTGCATCAGTTTGAGCAGCGCTTTGAGTTCTCCAGTTTAAAATAAATTATTTATTTTCTTACCTCCCTCTTCCCGTCTCTGATTCTGCATGTCGTGGGTCAAAAGAATACCACAGAACATGACAATTACAACATCTATAATGTGTGATGATAACTGTATTAAATATTTCCCACCTTATCAGTGGAGCAGCTTTGTAAGCAGCTCACTCTTCTCTGCTAGTCTATCCATCACAGATTGCAGTTAGAGGCTAAGACCCGGCAGTACAACTCTATGGGAGAAAAACTGTTTTTGGAAGAAATTTCCAAAAAGAAACTGTCCAAATGTTTTCCCTGAACATAACTTTACAGTGATTGGATTCACAAACCTGCCATATTATTCATTCCTATGTTGCTGAAAGTCCTTTCTACTGGTCAATATCACACATGTTATGAATACACTTGCACATCTTTAAGGGAAAACTAGAGTTGCCCTCAGTCACCCCTGCTTTCCGTCGGAGCCGGAGGGAAAATATTGAGAATGGAGATGAAATGGATGGAAATATCTGCAGTTTTCTGAATGGATGGGGAGTTAAATAAAACATTTCTTTTACTTTTTCTGCTTCATGTTAGCATGTGATTATCAGATGTGTTGGGAACAGGACACCTGCATTAAAAACGTTGGTTACGTATTGTAACCCCAGATTCTATGAGTCTAGTCTTAGCCCTTAAGCTAGCTGCTATTGGAAGGGTGATCTCAGCATCAGCCAATCATGAAGAGCTTAAATGTACGCCCACCAATGGTGGGCACCCCTTGTGGGTATATAAGTGGAACGACTCCACTGTTCGCCTCCGATGGCTCTTAGTCCTAACAGAACCAGTGGGGCCAGCGGCTTAAGGGCTGCGACTAGACTCATAGAATCTGGGGTTACAATATGTAACCAACGTTCTATTTCGTCTAGTCTTAGCCCTTAAGCTAGCTGCTATTGGAATAATGCGCAGCTGGATGGGTTTACGCCACACTGGTAAGCTCAACCCATGGACACACCCAACTTGTCTCCTTTTAGTGAGGGATGCTCAGCCGCAGCCCAGGGCTTAAAAGGCTGAAACGAGTGATGGATCTTGAAGCCACATCTCGTAAATAATAATGAGTAAAGGAACAGGGTGAAGCCCATGAAGCAGCCTGACAAATGTCTTCCATCGACACACCACTGTGGAGCGCCGTAGAAGAGGAAATCCCTCTGGCTGAGTGAGCCCTGAGTGTCTCAGGAGGATCCCGCCCTGATTATGTGTAAAGCTTGGTTTATGCTTGACGCATTCACTTTCCGCGCGGTGATGCGGCTCATGGCTGGAACGCGCTTCACAACTCGCAGCATTTATGGTTTGTGCGGCTTGTCTCTGCGTTGAGCCAATATTCTCCCAAACTGAACGGGGCAGCATGGAGCTCTACGGCATGCATCCAACACTACACCATAGTAGAAGTAGAAATTACTGTTTACAACATGGTATTTCAGCATTTTTAATAGCGTTCTCGTCTTTTCCGATAGTGCGAGCTATTTCTCTCCAAGAATTATTAACAACATGTTGATCACGGTGATCTCTGAGAGCTGAATCATACAAATGTCTGTATTTACGAACCTCTGCTGTGCCGGTCCGCCATGTTTTTCCGCTTCCGACCGTCCGCGTGGTTAGAAATTTTCCGAGGTGCGCGTTGCGGAAATCTTGGGACGTGTGGAGACGCGGTGGAGGGCCGTGGTCGTTAAAATGACGCAAAATGACGCAACTTTTCCGCGCGGAGCCGTGCGGACCTCGCGGACGCGTCAAGCATAAACCAACCTTAAGCGAGTGAAATGGCGTCACACAGCCAGTGTGAAAGACGCTGGGTCGACAGCGCTTGCCCAAGGGAAGAATCTCTGTAGTGCACAAACAGGCTTTGTGAGCGGATGATTGAAAACAGATCTATCTCCAAAACCCTGGTGACAGGATGAGATAGCTGCAGCATATGTTTTAATAGTGCTGAATGCGAGGCCCCCTCCATCAGTATCTGCAGAAACGATGGGACATCCGCCAGCTGGCAGGAGAGCGCTTGAACATTCCGCTCTGTGCACCATTTCTGAAAAGCTGCCCATTTAGCAGCATAAGATGTGATGGTAGAAGGCGCCCGCGCACTCTGAATCGTGGCGACCACATCATGCGGCAGCCCAGAAGCCTCTAAGCGTGACTGCTCAGCGGCCAGACCCACAGCCGTTGGCCTATTTCCGGAGGATGTTTGATTATCCCATCCGCCTGGAGAAGGGCGTCCTCCCTCCACGGGAGCCTCCACGGAGAGCCGGACACTAGCGCTTGCAGGTCTGGAAACCATGACGGGGACAAGCGTCTGGGAGCTACCAGAATTACTGAGAGCTGTTCCGACTGAACTCGGTCCAGGAGACGGGGAATCAGTGGGACTGGCGGAAACGCATACAGGAGCATCTGAGGCCAGGGCTGGTGCGAGAAGGCGTCCGCTCCGAGTGGGGGATGGTCCCGAGGACTCAAGGAAAACCACAGGCGACACTGCGTTTTCGCGAGCCGTGAACAGATCCACACAGGGTTCCCCTAACCTCTTCCAGATCTGTGATATCAGTGCGGGATGCAGACGCCAGTCGGAGTCGCGGGGTCCCCCTCTCGACAGGATGTCCGCTGCTACATTCAGGACCCCCAGAATGTAGGTGGCTTTGATGGACAGCAGGTGGACATGTGCCCAACACAGTAAATCTGTGGCTACACGCAATAGTGGGAGGGGTCGAACTCCCCCTTGGCGATTTATGTAGGCTGCCGCCACCTGGTTGTCTGTGTGAACTTCAACATGACGGCCCTCGAGAAGGGCAGCGAAGTGTCTGATCACATTCCTCACTGTCATAAGCTCCAACACATTTATGTGCTAGTGCGTGTGGGAGGGCCAGCGATCTGCCACCGTATGGGACAAGCACATGCCCCCCCATCCCAACAGTGACGCATCCGTAAACACAGATACGTGTGACGTAGGACATCCGATGGGGACCCCGTGTGAGAGGATGCAGGGATTCCCCCAGTGAGTGAGGTCCCCGCCCACTGAAGGGGGAACCCTCAACATACGTCTCTTCTGACGTATCGGGTGTACCCGGAGGCAGATAAACCAACGTTGCAGGCACTTCGTGTGCAGTAAACCTAGCGGCACCACACTGTGGGCTGCAGCCATCATGCCCAGAAGTTTCATCACTAAGAGGGCTCTCACGATCTTGCGGGGTTGCACGCGGGAGATCACCGAGGCGAGATCTGCCGCTCTCGCCAGAGACAAACGTGCTCTCAGTAGAGAGGCGTTCAGCTCCACCCCGGGAAACACAATCGACTGGGATGGAAGGATGGAGCTCTTCTCCCAGTTTATGGAAAACCCCAGGGTTGACAGATGCTCTTTTAACTTCCTGGTTTGCTCTGACGCCTCGTCCTCGGACCGGGCGCATATGAGCAGATCGTCCAGGTAAAATAAAACTCATTCCCGCTGTGCGCAGTGGCTGCAGCGCGGTCTCCAGACATTTGGAGAAGGTGCGCGGGGCTAGCGAGTAGGCGAAAGGGAGACGATTGAACTGGTATCGAACTCCCTTGAATGAGAAGCGCAGGAACTTCCGGTGCTTGGGAATTACTGGGATGTGGAAGCATGCGTCTTTTAGGTCTATTGATATGAACCAGTCCCCGGAGCACACGTATTCTAGGACTTGCCTCATTGTTAACATGCAGAAATGCATCACTGCTATAGAGCAGTTGAACAGAGAAAGGTCGAGAATTGGTCTCATTCCTCCCGACTTCTTCTGTACTACGAAGTAGTGGGAGTAGAAGCCTGAGAGCTCTCGTCCGCAAGGGACTTGGGAAATTGCGTCCTTGGACAGAAGTTCCTGCAGCTCTAGCTCCAGGGCCTGAGATTGTACCTGTGACGTGAACGTCGTCTCCATGATCCCGTTGAAGGGAGGAGGAGTGGATTGAAAATGGAGTGTGTGACCGTAATGAATGGTGTCCGATATCCATTTGCTCATGAGGCAAAGGCGGCGCCATTCTTGCGCGCGTTCCGACAGCGGACGCGTGTTCGAGGTCACGTGAACGACGTCTGAGGACTGGGTTCGTGCCCTTACTGCCGTTGCTCGCACCAGAGAACTGGGAGCGACCCATGGACGGCTGAGCTCGAAAGGGCGAGTGTGAACAGCTGAAAGAGGCTGATCCGCACCGCGGAGCGTGGAGTCCAAGGATGAAGGACGAGTGGGAGCTGGGCCCATGCACGGGGACGACAAAGTGCCAGCGGAGTGAGCCGCGCCATGACATCCCGTCCCACCCAACGTTGTGGGGGAAGCGGGATGAGTTGGGCCTGGCCGGAGGCTGGGGCCGGTGTGCAAATGGATCGCACCCTTACAACTGACCATGTAGGAACATGCAGATGTGTCGCAGTGCTTGGTGTGGGGAACATCATGTGTGAGGATTCGGCAGAGGGTTCTGCAGAGGACTGTAGGATTGTGCTCTCAGTGTGACGTTTTTTGGGTTTTATTTCAAAACCAAAATCATTCACAGAGTTAACATTACAGTCATAAGCACACACATTCCTCCCAACCAGTTGTTTTCGTGGTTGTTTTCGGCGAGGTTCCTGCGCCTGTGACTGCCAAGATGGCGTCTGCTGGCTCTTTCGCAACCGTTGGCCACCAACTCCCTGGTCCCGCTTCGGCTCCACCTCAGCGGGAGGCCGGCTCCACGGGGCGGGCGGTGTAGCTGGGCACCTGAAGTTTCCGCACCGTTCGTCCCATCCTCTTGAGAAACAGCCGGAGTGCGAGGCTGACCGAGGGTGGACCAGGTCTCGCACCATGGCTGACAGTTCAGCCGCCTTCTGAGCCCTCTCGATGACGCTCGTAAGATGGGGACCAAACAGAACGTCAGAGGTGATGGGGCCTTCCAGCATCTCCCTGTGCAGGTGATCAGGAATGCAGGGCAGGGCCTTGAGCCACAAGGCCCGCTGGATAAGGGTCTGCCAGGCAGCAATGCGAGCAGAACCGGTGAGTACAGCTGCGCACAGATTGAGAATGGCACCAGC